AATAAAGGGTGTCTTTATAAATATTTAAGAGAGAATTTTAGTAAACTTATATGGCAGACTAAATTACAAATACTTAAAGATGTTTCAGATGAGTTATACAGCATTCACAATCATGCAAGATACATTCATGCCGATTTTCATAGCGGCAACATTTTGCAAGACCAACGAACTAATGAAGATATACAATCTTACATCGCAGATCTAGGATTGTCTAGAAAGAAAGATGATTATATTTCGAAGGGCGATATTTTTGGAGTTATGCCCTATGTTGCTCCGAAATTTTATCAGGCAAAGGGCAGCTTACACAAGCAGCAGATATTTACGGATTTGGTATTATTATGGTAGAAATGTCAACCGGACAAAGGCCTTTTGACGGTTATCAATTTAATGAAGAACTTGCAGTAAAGATTTGTACTGGATTGCGTCCAGAGTTTGCTTTTGGAACTCCTGACTGCTATGTTGGATTGGCGAAGAAATGTATGGATTCAGATCCACAAGAACGGCCTAATGCATATGTTATTTGTATTAAAACTCGTAATTGGCTTAAAGAGTTAGCTTCATATGATGAGGACAAAATTAAAAAACAGTTCTTAAATGCAGATCAAATCATTAAAAAATTGCCAATAATTCCTCAAATTCATCCAGATCATGTTTTTACTAGCAAAATTATTAGTACACAAAAGATAGCCAATGCAATTAAAGGTATTATTTAAAAAATTATTTGATATAAATATTATACAATAAATAATTTAATATTTTCAGATAAGAATTGTCATCAACAAGTAAGCCTATTGAGTCTTTTGATATTCCTACCAGTAAATACTACAATATTAAACTTGCTTATAAATATATAAACTTATTATTCACTTTTATTTAATATTTAGATATTGAATAGTTTCTTTAACGGTATAAAATTTTACAGGTGCATTTGAAATATTTTTATTTAAAAATTAAAAATTAATTTAATATTGTATTCAAGATTTAGGTATGTAGAAAAATTTATTACTTGATAATAAATAAAAAATCAATAAAATATTATGAACTTGTGTTTTTTATTCTCACTCATCAAATTAAATAATTAATATTTTTACTTCTAATTTAGAAAATAATGTATTCATACATAATATAAAACAAACGCCTTCAATAAATTTTGAATCTTTGTTTTTGAATTATAATATTGTAACTACAGTCAGATATCATTGTATATTAGCTGCTTAAAAAGATTTGCATTAGTGAAAAAAAATACAATTGTAAATATTTGATTAATAATTTACAGCTAATGTAACTTGTATCAGAGAACCAAAACAAATTTATATAGCTTTTCAAGACAATGTTTTATTATCAGACCGCATTTTATGTTACACATGTATAATAATGATTGTGAATATATATTCTAATAATTGTGATTTCACTGTAAAAGAATTCGTACGATTTTACGAACTGGGATAGGGTTTAGGGCATGGAGCGTGACACTAATCATCATATGAAAACAATTAATAATACATCACATATTACTATTTACTTCCATATGATGTTTAGTATCACGTCCCCGTGCCCAGGCAAATAATAAGAATCACTTTCCAGTGCCCTAAACTTACGTATTATTATTAACTTAGTTCGTGAACGGGCAGAATATTAAGAACATTTAGTAGTATTATTTATAAGAACATTGCTGTATTATTCAATCATCTATTCTTTTATTAATTTCTTTGCTGTATTCGAGACTCAATACTATAGTACCAAGACCAATTATCTCAAACTTGGATTTAAACCATATCATATTTGTTATAATTCTAAGCCATGCCTAGGTGATTTAAAACTATGATCAACGGCTTAAAACTTTTCTTGTGATCATTGAACTACATTTTTTGAAATCATAGGTCACTCAGTAATTTGTCCATATAATAAACATTATTTTTAGCTAAATGAAGTTTTCGAAAGTAATGAAGTTCTAGAACAAGATGTAACCTGAGTTGAGGATGACGTGGGGTTCGTTGTGGGCATGGGAACCGTCAAAGGCTTGAAAATCGGTTAGGCAAAGTTAATTTTTCGTTTTGCATAACCCGCCGACCCAATTTTTCAAAAAAATTTTTTTTTTAAATTCCAATTGCCCAATTATTCCATTTTTGCTATTTAATTATTTCCGTAAATTTATCCGGTATCACCTGATAGTGAACTTAATTTCCGGAATAGCCCGACAGGTCTGTCAAAAAAATAAATAAATAAATTTCCAAAATTTCTGATTCCATGTTATTCAAAACAAAATTAACTTGTGTGGCCTTAAATGAGCATGAATCTATTAATTTACAGCAAAAAAACCCCCGACCCGCAGACTGGAATTTCGAAACGCTAGGTTATGCAAAACGAAAAATTAACTTTGCGTGGCCTTATACGTAGACATTGGAATTCGAGATGGGCAAACATAAATTTTCATTTTAGCATGCACATACACGTGCATTTTTTGAATGCATGTTTTGGTCAAAATTATGATTTGATTTCTTTAGTGCTGGCCAGAATTAATCGTATGTTTTGCATACCATGCGTGCTATGTACGTATTTATAGTGTTATGATTAGAGATGTGCGAATGCGAGTCTTTTTTTGGCTTTGCATCACATAGGCAACATTATGTTGCACGATGCACTATGAAATTATGTATAGTATACCGTGAACCTCTCGAAACCTATATGCAGTAAGCAGATTTTGTATTATTATTGAGTGGTTGTCGGATTTGAAAATATAAACTATTAGATTAATAGTGGAAACAGACCTAGTAGATCAATTTTTTATTAAATAATTTTGATAGGAACAAGTGCCTATAAAATGATCGTTAATGAAATAACATAGATCAAACTAGATAAAACCTCTGTGTATTTTTAAATTTTAGCCAACTTGCATCGCATTATGCAGCATTATATAACATGCAACATCGCCTGCATAATGCATACGGCACATCTCTAGTTATGATGTAATCATATCGAATTAGTCAATTATTAAGAATTTAACACGTAACTTTGTGAAAAATCTTCACAATCAACTTTAATGTTTGCTCACGTGAAAGTTTTACGATCCAATTAGGGTGGGAATCGATTTTTATTTTAGGAATCGATATTTTAGATCGATTTTATCGATTTTTCAAATGACCTGGTCGGCTGGCTGGGCCTGCATAGAGTTAATACCTCAATCCGGATATATTTTTTATATCCGGATTAATCTGGGTTTATCATAGCATAAATCTGGTTAAATCCGGATTTATTTATATCCGGATTATGTCAGTTATATGCATAGTACAAGCCCCATAAAAAATTCTTCGCCCCTTGTAATTAGTTAGCGTGATATTTAGACATATTACACTAAAAACATGGTAAAATCTATAAAATATTCCTAAAATTCACTCCCTAGTGCCACACATAACATAACGTTAATATGCTGTATATCATTTCTTTTTTAGGGTACATTAATTTCTTTTAAGATAGAATTTACAGGGGTGAAGAATTTTTTGTAAAAATAAAATATATAATCCGAGGTATTAACTCTAGGCCTGCATTATAGCGGTTTGCAAAATGCGTGACCCTGTGATTTTCGTGGCAGGAAACCCAGGGCATTCTCAAGAACTTCCCTTAATTGATTTAACAAAGAATCTGATTGGTTTATCAGATTAAATAGTCTATGAATTTATTGAGAGGTGCTTGGAAACGAATTCAATTAATATTTTATTTATTTATTGGAAACTATAAAATTCTTGAAAGCGCGAATAATCAGCACAATAAAGTAATGCAGGCTAATTAATCTTTAAATTAACTCTTGTCAAAACTTTCCGATAAGGCCATACAAAGTTGATTTTTTCGTTTTGCACTACATCGGTTGGATTTTTTTTTTTTTTAATCTACAGTAAATTAATACTCATGTTCACATTTAAGGCCACGCAAAGTTAGTTTTTTGCTTTGCATAACATGGAATCAGAAAATTGGTCGGCAGTCGAATTTTTTTTATCAGTTCAATATGATAATTCCGGAAAATAGGTCTCTATTGGGTGTTATCGGAGTAATTTGTGATGAAAAATCAAATGGCAAAAATAGAATAATTGGCACAATTGGAACTTAAAAAAAAAAATTTTGAAAAATTGAAAAAATGGGTCGGCGGGTAATGCAAAACGAAAAATCAACTTTGCGTGGCCTAAATATGTAATTGAAAATATGATTGATAGACTATTTAAAATAATGGAAAGCCATCATTACGAAATCTCAAGGTCACACCTTTTCGCAAACCCACAATTGAAAATATACCGTAATCTACAGGAAATTTGTATAAGATGTGGATCACGATGTAGATTCTATAAATTTTAAAAATTTTATCGATTTTAAAGAATTATGAACGTAACAGATCGAAAATATAAACCGGCAGACAATCTAAAATCTCGGAAATTTTCCTCACAAAAATCGTTGCCATAAACACGAAAATCATAAGATCACATTTTTTGCAAAGCGTAATAATAATTAAATTAATTATCGTAGAATTATTCCCACCTCTATATCCAATATCAGTGCTGTAATTTGAAACAAGATGCTAATATAGCAATTTTCAATAGCATACTTTAAATAACAACGGTCTAATAAGATTGCTGATCATATTACAACTGTTTTCATAAAATTTGGGCTATAGACGCTAATCAATCCCAAAATGCAAAAGACGAAACCTCCGATTAAACTGTGAAACCGTGATGAAACCTATAATTCTGGTGAAACGTCGAAACCTTGATTAAATGCCACCCCTGGAGAAATTCTATTTCATAAAAAGTGTTATTCCTTGATCTAACTTAAAGATCACAAGACGATACATTTTGTGATAAGCTAAGCTTCGTGAAGTCATATACTATAATATATTTAACCTATAGTATTTTATTTGTATTAATCGATAATGAATAGTTTACAATATACAGAAATAAAACTAATAAAAAGAAATTTCCTATAAACTAGAAAATATTTTTTATATAACTTAATAAATGCGTTAGATACTATCTTTATGAAATAATATAACTATACTTATATAACTAATAGTGTTAATAAAGAAAACTGTAATCATGTTGTGGTTTTCTTATTATTTTTTTTACATTTATCAACCAGCAAACGAACTATTTCATCCAATTTACTATCAGGATCATCTAAAGTTTATCTTGAAGCAAAAAAGAAGTATCCAAATTCAAATTTTGTTGTTATTTCTCTTGGTACTGGATATTACCCAAAACCTTTAGAAAAATATAATAATGCTGGTATTGTTCAATGGGTAAGTCCCTTAATTAGTCTTTTGATGGATAATGAACAAGTAAATCATCACAACACTATGAAAATGCTAGCTGAATTTAATGGTGAAACATATTATCGGATTCAGCCTGTAATGGATGTAGAATTGAATTTAGCTGACGTAGGAGATGAAGAGGTTAAAAAACTTCTTGCACTAGGCGATAAAGCTATAGATGATCCTGATAGTAAATTGGATGAAATAGTTCGTTTGCTGGTTGATAAATGTAAAAAAAATAATAAGAAAACCACAACATGATTACAGTTTTCTTTATTAACACTATTAGTTATATAAGTATAGTTATATTATTTCATAAAGATAGTATCTAACGCATTTATTAAGTTATATAAAAAATATTTTCTAGTTTATAGGAAATTTCTTTTTATTAGTTTTATTTCTGTATATTGTAAACTATTCATTATCGATTAATACAAATAAAATACTATAGGTTAAATATATTATAGTATATGACTTCACGAAGCTTAGCTTATCACAAAATGTATCGTCTTGTGATCTTTAAGTTAGATCAAGGAATAACACTTTTTATGAAATAGAATTTCTCCAGGGGTGGCATTTAATCAAGGTTTCGACGTTTCACCAGAATTATAGGTTTCATCACGGTTTCACAGTTTAATCGGAGGTTTCGTCTTTTGCATTTTGGGATTGATTAGCGTCTATAGCCCAAATTTTATGAAAACAGTTGTAATATGATCAGCAATCTTATTAGACCGTTGTTATTTAAAGTATGCTATTGAAAATTGCTATATTAGCATCTTGTTTCAAATTACAGCACTGATATTGGATATAGAGGTGGGAATAATTCTACGATAATTAATTTAATTATTATTACGCTTTGCAAAAAATGTGATCTTATGATTTTCGTGTTTATGGCAACGATTTTTGTGAGGAAAATTTCCGAGATTTTAGATTGTCTGCCGGTTTATATTTTCGATCTGTTACGTTCATAATTCTTTAAAATCGATAAAATTTTTAAAATTTATAGAATCTACATCGTGATCCACATCTTATACAAATTTCCTGTAGATTACGGTATATTTTCAATTGTGGGTTTGCGAAAAGGTGTGACCTTGAGATTTCGTAATGATGGCTTTCCATTATTTTAAATAGTCTATCAATCATATTTTCAATTACATATTTAGGCCACGCAAAGTTGATTTTTCGTTTTGCATTACCCGCCGACCCATTTTTTCAATTTTTCAAAATTTTTTTTTTTAAGTTCCAATTGTGCCAATTATTCTATTTTTGCCATTTGATTTTTCATCACAAATTACTCCGATAACACCCAATAGAGACCTATTTTCCGGAATTATCATATTGAACTGATAAAAAAAATTCGACTGCCGACCAATTTTCTGATTCCATGTTATGCAAAGCAAAAAACTAACTTTGCGTGGCCTTAAATGTGAACATGAGTATTAATTTACTGTAGATTAAAAAAAAAAAAAATCCAACCGATGTAGTGCAAAACGAAAAAATCAACTTTGTATGGCCTTATCGGAAAGTTTTGACAAGAGTTAATTTAAAGATTAATTAGCCTGCATTACTTTATTGTGCTGATTATTCGCGCTTTCAAGAATTTTATAGTTTCCAATAAATAAATAAAATATTAATTGAATTCGTTTCCAAGCACCTCTCAATAAATTCATAGACTATTTAATCTGATAAACCAATCAGATTCTTTGTTAAATCAATTAAGGGAAGTTCTTGAGAATGCCCTGGGTTTCCTGCCACGAAAATCACAGGGTCACGCATTTTGCAAACCGCTATAATGCAGGCCTAGAGTTAATACCTCGGATTATATATTTTATTTTTACAAAAAATTCTTCACCCCTGTAAATTCTATCTTAAAAGAAATTAATGTACCCTAAAAAAGAAATGATATACAGCATATTAACGTTATGTTATGTGTGGCACTAGGGAGTGAATTTTAGGAATATTTTATAGATTTTACCATGTTTTTAGTGTAATATGTCTAAATATCACGCTAACTAATTACAAGGGGCGAAGAATTTTTTATGGGGCTTGTACTATGCATATAACTGACATAATCCGGATATAAATAAATCCGGATTTAACCAGATTTATGCTATGATAAACCCAGATTAATCCGGATATAAAAAATATATCCGGATTGAGGTATTAACTCTATGCAGGCCCAGCCAGCCGACCAGGTCATTTGAAAAATCGATAAAATCGATCTAAAATATCGATTCCTAAAATAAAAATCGATTCCCACCCTAATTGGATCGTAAAACTTTCACGTGAGCAAACATTAAAGTTGATTGTGAAGATTTTTCACAAAGTTACGTGTTAAATTCTTAATAATTGACTAATTCGATATGATTACATCATAACTAGAGATGTGCCGTATGCATTATGCAGGCGATGTTGCATGTTATATAATGCTGCATAATGCGATGCAAGTTGGCTAAAATTTAAAAATACACAGAGGTTTTATCTAGTTTGATCTATGTTATTTCATTAACGATCATTTTATAGGCACTTGTTCCTATCAAAATTATTTAATAAAAAATTGATCTACTAGGTCTGTTTCCACTATTAATCTAATAGTTTATATTTTCAAATCCGACAACCACTCAATAATAATACAAAATCTGCTTACTGCATATAGGTTTCGAGAGGTTCACGGTATACTATACATAATTTCATAGTGCATCGTGCAACATAATGTTGCCTATGTGATGCAAAGCCAAAAAAAGACTCGCATTCGCACATCTCTAATCATAACACTATAAATACGTACATAGCACGCATGGTATGCAAAACATACGATTAATTCTGGCCAGCACTAAAGAAATCAAATCATAATTTTGACCAAAACATGCATTCAAAAAATGCACGTGTATGTGCATGCTAAAATGAAAATTTATGTTTGCCCATCTCGAATTCCAATGTCTACGTATAAGGCCACGCAAAGTTAATTTTTCGTTTTGCATAACCTAGCGTTTCGAAATTCCAGTCTGCGGGTCGGGGGTTTTTTTGCTGTAAATTAATAGATTCATGCTCATTTAAGGCCACACAAGTTAATTTTGTTTTGAATAACATGGAATCAGAAATTTTGGAAATTTATTTATTTATTTTTTTGACAGACCTGTCGGGCTATTCCGGAAATTAAGTTCACTATCAGGTGATACCGGATAAATTTACGGAAATAATTAAATAGCAAAAATGGAATAATTGGGCAATTGGAATTTAAAAAAAAAATTTTTTTGAAAAATTGGGTCGGCGGGTTATGCAAAACGAAAAATTAACTTTGCCTAACCGATTTTCAAGCCTTTGACGGTTCCCATGCCCACAACGAACCCCACGTCATCCTCAACTCAGGTTACATCTTGTTCTAGAACTTCATTACTTTCGAAAACTTCATTTAGCTAAAAATAATGTTTATTATATGGACAAATTACTGAGTGACCTATGATTTCAAAAAATGTAGTTCAATGATCACAAGAAAAGTTTTAAGCCGTTGATCATAGTTTTAAATCACCTAGGCATGGCTTAGAATTATAACAAATATGATATGGTTTAAATCCAAGTTTGAGATAATTGGTCTTGGTACTATAGTATTGAGTCTCGAATACAGCAAAGAAATTAATAAAAGAATAGATGATTGAATAATACAGCAATGTTCTTATAAATAATACTACTAAATGTTCTTAATATTCTGCCCGTTCACGAACTAAGTTAATAATAATACGTAAGTTTAGGGCACTGGAAAGTGATTCTTATTATTTGCCTGGGCACGGGGACGTGATACTAAACATCATATGGAAGTAAATAGTAATATGTGATGTATTATTAATTGTTTTCATATGATGATTAGTGTCACGCTCCATGCCCTAAACCCTATCCCAGTTCGTAAAATCGTACGAATTCTTTTACAGTGAAATCACAATTATTAGAATATATATTCACAATCATTATTATACATGTGTAACATAAAATGCGGTCTGATAATAAAACATTGTCTTGAAAAGCTATATAAATTTGTTTTGGTTCTCTGATACAAGTTACATTAGCTGTAAATTATTAATCAAATATTTACAATTGTATTTTTTTTCACTAATGCAAATCTTTTTAAGCAGCTAATATACAATGATATCTGACTGTAGTTACAATATTATAATTCAAAAACAAAGATTCAAAATTTATTGAAGGCGTTTGTTTTATATTATGTATGAATACATTATTTTCTAAATTAGAAGTAAAAATATTAATTATTTAATTTGATGAGTGAGAATAAAAAACACAAGTTCATAATATTTTATTGATTTTTTATTTATTATCAAGTAATAAATTTTTCTACATACCTAAATCTTGAATACAATATTAAATTAATTTTTAATTTTTAAATAAAAATATTTCAAATGCACCTGTAAAATTTTATACCGTTAAAGAAACTATTCAATATCTAAATATTAAATAAAAGTGAATAATAAGTTTATATATTTATAAGCAAGTTTAATATTGTAGTATTTACTGGTAGGAATATCAAAAGACTCAATAGGCTTACTTGTTGATGACAATTCTTATCTGAAAATATTAAATTATTTATTGTATAATATTTATATCAAATAATTTTTTAAATAATACCTTTAATTGCATTGGCTATCTTTTGTGTACTAATAATTTTGCTAGTAAAAACATGATCTGGATGAATTTGAGGAATTATTGGCAATTTTTTAATGATTTGATCTGCATTTAAGAACTGTTTTTTAATTTTGTCCTCATCATATGAAGCTAACTCTTTAAGCCAATTACGAGTTTTAATACAAATAACATATGCATTAGGCCGTTCTTGTGGATCTGAATCCATACATTTCTTCGCCAATCCAACATAGCAGTCAGGAGTTCCAAAAGCAAACTCTGGACGCAATCCAGTACAAATCTTTACTGCAAGTTCTTCATTAAATTGATAACCGTCAAAAGGCCTTTGTCCGGTTGACATTTCTACCATAATAATACCAAATCCGTAAATATCTGCTGCTTGTGTAAGCTGCCCTTTGCCTGATAAAATTTCGGAGCAACATAGGGCATAACTCCAAAAATATCGCCCTTCGAAATATAATCATCTTTCTTTCTAGACAATCCTAGATCTGCGATGTAAGATTGTATATCTTCATTAGTTCGTTGGTCTTGCAAAATGTTGCCGCTATGAAAATCGGCATGAATGTATCTTGCATGATTGTGAATGCTGTATAACTCATCTGAAACATCTT